CAAGCAATTTTCCAAACTACATTACTGAATAAACAGGGTTGTTAAAACCTCATCTTACGACACAAAAATCACCAAGTATTCATGGCGTGTTACATCTCAAGTTACATAAATTCGGAATCATGTTGGGTAGAAATCACTTCCAACACAGTCGAACCGTTCACACACCAGGTGACACAACTTCAGATTCCACTCTTGATAACACAATTTCAAATTCCATTTGTAGTAAACCAAATCAACAAATCAACAATGCAAGAATGGTCCCACTTCGTTTCTGCCTTACTGAAGGCCAATTTCTTGAAGGATTTATCGATCATGCTCTAATGCCACATCGCGCTCCAATGACAATGGGTTACTGTAACACCCGTTCACACGGACTCCCAAATCTCTCTTGTGTTTACTTTCTGTTAATTTCAGGTTATCATTACGGAACGTGAGGTCGATGAGAATTAGCGTTCCCGATTTCCACGAATTTTATGCTAATAGTTGAATGTTTCGCTAATGTGTTTTGTATGCTCTGATAGCAAATTTCGTGCTCTATTGTTAGATAACTGCTGTTTTGCGCCGCAGTACGCGTTAGCCGCCTGGGGCACGACTTTTGCCCATAATTCAGCATTCTTGTGATAACTTTCGTGCTCTATATTATTGCGATGCAGTTATTTTAAAAATCCGTTTGATTTCCTTGTTTTTCAGGTTGGTAATATGGAATGTCAGGTCGATAAGCATCAGCATTGAACAGCTGGCTGATCGGTGGGAGGAGGTTGTAAGAAACAATGGGGAATATATCATTGACTAGTTTATTGTAAATATCTATATTTTTTATAGTGTTGTAAATACTGTGTTGAAATTTACTAAGGAAAACAAAAAAAAATCGTGAGGTATGGGTCGACCGGATGTCTGCAAGGTCAACGTTGTCGGTTGTGCTTTTTTCCAGAATCAATTGTGAGCCGTCCTAATACTAATCTGTTACTCTATGCCTTACTCAAACCATGGCGATTCTATTGAGCTGCTCTAGGAGCTTTGAAGCTTCCGTGGACAGCGGTAGGGAGAGGAAGTCGGGAACGCTAATTCTCATCGACCTCACGTTCCGTAATGATAACCTGAAATTAACAGAAAGTAAACAGCTCTGGAGAACAGATTTCACAGAGCACGAAATTTGCTATCAGAACATGCAAAACATATCAGCGAAACATTCAACTATTAGCATAAAATTTCAGGTGGAACAGACGTGAGCCTGCCCAATATCGGCGAGGTGAAGGTTGCCAACTTTGAAATTCTTGAAATTAGTTCCAAAGCGTCCTATTGAGATTCCCTTGCTGAGACTTCTAGCTCAACCTTTTCAAATGTATGGAGCAGCTTAAGCGATTTTAGCACTTCGAGTAGACGTAAATAGAGGCAGTTGTCGAAGGTGCTAATTTTCGCCGACTTCACTTTCAACTTCAACGACTAAAAAATTCACAAAAATTATTCCCTCAACCGAAGCTGTTTTGATATTCTTATACTACGAGAAGTTTCCTATCAGACGATATCTTTCAAACCACTTTCACTTTTGCAACAAAATTTTCAATTGAAAAAAACAACGCTATTACTTATGTGCCCAATAAGTTGCTTCTGCAATTCTCAAGCCCAAATCAAGTGCAAAAATTGGAGTCAAAAACTCTCGTTTCTGCCCACCGTTGCTCCATTTGATGAACTTAACATTGGCAGTAGTCAAGAATTAATCAAAAATGAACATACTCTCTTGTAGAGTAAAAAATCGTCCATCGTATAGCAAAGAACGCGCTCAGAATACCCAACCACTCCCAATCGAAATTCCATGCAAGGAAAAAAGCGCTGTTACTCATGAACTCCGGAACGCCTTCTAAGAGGAAACCAGCTCAAAAATCCTACTCTTACTTGCTCACTTCTCCTTTCCGTCTAGAAGAAGTGAGAGACTGCATTCCAAGTGTAGGCTCTGAGGCTGTAAGTCTGGCTCCTGCCAGAGCGGCTCGTCCTTTTTCCTCAGATGCTAAAGAACCAGTGATGGTTTCGAGTTGACTCAACCGACTGGGCATTGGCGGGGTAACAATACAATATCAATTGCCAGCATCTCTCTGTCCAGGAACCTCATTATGCTCAAATGTCAAGCACAGAAGGGCTGGTTTTTCCCAGTAAAACGTTAGATTTAACAGAAATGCAAGCATCTGTTACTGTTGGGCCGTAGAGTGTGACGCTCTTTGCAGTATGCATCGCATATGTATAAAGCCACAGTGGTTAGGTACCGTCGGTAAAAAGGTTGTACTTGAGAAAATCGTTGGGGTAAAGTCCCAAAAGTCCCAAGGATAACCGTTGTGAGGGTATTAATGCCTACTGCTGACAGCTGGCTGCCTTTTTCCTCAATAAACCCTAGAAAGCCTCGTCGTTTCAATGCGTACACCTCCAACCAGTTCAATCCTCGGGCAGCTAACACATTTTGCCAAGTAAAAGTGCCTGGCAAAAGCGAATGCGAAAGCTCGGTGGATAGCGAATGAATAGAGAGCAGGCCAATCACCACCAATTTCTGCTCTATGTATAGTGAGGACGCTGGAAAAATTACCTGCTAATTCGAGATATTTCAGGAAAACCATCTATGAGGGTAACTCCTTCGCCGGCTCTTTTCAATGTGCTGCAACTTGGGCTAGGCTTTTTCCTGAATTTTTTTGCATTCAACTCACAAGGTCCATTCACAGCACTTATTTCTAACAAGCGAAAATGACGAAACTTAGGTTTGGCAGGTTTTCAGGTTTCATTGAGGAAACGGTAATTGAAAGTTTCGCGAGTAGGAGAAACATCAACAAGCATGCTGGTTATTACAGGTTAGGCTGAATTTATCTTCTTTTTCATTTCTGTTTGCTTTTTTCTTTTTGGCTTTACGATGAGTGGAAAACCAGCGTACGATTCTTCAGCCTTTCTATAATATATGCTGTATTCACGATCTCTAATATTGTGGCAGCTCCTATCGTTAAATTCTTGACACCAAAGTGGGCCATGACAGCTGGAGCATTGTGCTATGCAGCCTTTCAGGTTTGTGATGAAAGAACAAGAATTTTGCTCATGACATCAGATTGAAGTGAATCATCGCCCTACACTCGACTTCTCTTAACCTATTGCGTACCGCGTGCTGCGCATGATGCAGCACGATGATTATCTGGATTACTTTGCGTCCTTTCCTGCTACAAAGTTGGAGCATATGTTTTCGAACACGGAGAACAACATAAGTACGTGGGACCTCGATCGCTGAAGTAGTACTTGGGTTATTGACCTCTTTCATAGAAAACTTCAGCTGTGATCTCCTTCATTTATTAGGTAGGCGGGAAAGTTCTGTCACATTTTTTCAAACTAGGCTTTCTTTTTACAGAGAGGCGTACAAGATCAAAATTATACAGCAATGTTATTGAGAGATCCTTGCCAGTTTTTGGACAGTTCGTGGATGCCATCGCTTAACAATGCACGCCGGCGCGACGCAAAGTTGGACATCATCTCAACTTTGACTTGGGCTCAAGTCGTGGAGGTTTTCTCGGCTGTATAACGGTTGAATACGGGAGGCGACTAGCAGTCAGAAAGAGCAATGTCTGGACTACACCGGTGCAAGGGGAGAGCCATCCAGCTCTATTGCATGAAGTACGGCTCGAACTTTTTTGACGGGGTGTGCTGCACCAGCACGTTGAAGACGGACTGTGCCGATGGATTTTGCCCTCTGCTTGACGATTCGCTTCAGATCTCGTAGCTGCCTTGCGTACGGATTGACCGAGGAGGCAGCTTCTTCATCCAGTAGTTTCCCGACCCACCGCTATCTAGAGCTGAGTTTACAGGTACTCCCGAACCTCACTTCGTCATTCGAACCGTAGGCTCCCGCTCTGAAGAGCTAGCGTCGTGGAAGATTGTCTGATGACTGTAGACATTGTCCTTGTGCAGCTCCATTATTTCGGCGTCGACAGCTGCCATGCTGGCGCCAGGGTGGTAGAAGAAATAGTTTAAGGAAGCGCTTGAAGGGGTCGGTGCTGAAGGTAGCGGATAACATTCTTGTCCATAATGCAGAATAAGGATGAGCAGGAGCCGAGCCAGTGACACTAATAGAAAGATCAATCCTTAATGTATAAATGCTCACATTACCGGTTAGCCCTCTTCAGGTTAGGCGAGTAAGATAGAACAAATAGTATGACAGAACTTCCCCGCCAACCTAATATTTTCAACGTTTATAGACACTCATAAAGGATTAAACAGGACACCGTTGATGATATGTGTGGAAACACTTAATGCAGAAATATTGATCGCAGGTTGTGCATCTTGTATTCACTAGTATTGTGTGGTTTCTAGCGTACAGAGCACCATTCGTCCGGGAAAGGTTCCTGTAGCATGAGACGCATCTCCTCCTTAGTTCCTCTTCGGTCCACCTACTTCGTACAGCTTCGGTCTCGAGGAAGCGCTCGCTGGTGTGTTGTATCCTTCTAAAATGGACTCTATAATGCCGCACTTGAACTCACTGAACACCTTTCTTGACGACCAGTAGTCTTTGAGGTTTGTCCCGATTTCGAGTCCCATTTGGAAATAAATCGCCAAAAACTTCAGTAGTTCGCCCTCATCGAGAATAATCCAGTTTGAGTACTTTGCGACAGCATAACGATTGGTTTCTCTCACAATCAAATCAACAAGATCGTCTGTGAAAATCGCCGGAAAAATTGGATTGGATACTGGTAAGATAGAACATCTTCATCCAGTGCACCACCGAAACCTTGAAAGTCGAAATTGTTCTGCCTGCTGATATTTGGGGTCCATTGAATCCCTCCATCGTTTGTATCTGAGCCTTCTTCGCTTGATTCCCAATCGGACTCATCACTTGAATGATTCACGCGGACAACCATATCTTCTGGGGTATCAGGGCCCTCTTCCACCACTTCGTCATCACTTTCAATCAGAAGTTCATCAAACGATCTATTCAGCGCGTCCATCATTGCCTATCTGGAACGGCTACTATAAATTAGGCGTAGTTTCCCAAAAAAATAGCCTGGAGAAGCGAAATGGCGTACGTTGAGTTTATACTTCGCTGCGGGCGCGAGAAATACCGCTCTGCGTGGCCGCGTGCTGCACCATGTGCAGCACGCCGGCGAGGTTGCGAAATATGGCTCGGGCACACGCGGCAGCCAGCGAAAAAACGCTTCGGTACGCGAATGGGTTAAAGGCACGGTCCGCGATCAGGTATCGAAGTTGAAAATATGGCGTCAGGAGGTTAGAGTGGTCCGCGACGAACAACCTTGTACCGGTTTCGCGGCAAAAAATAAGGGAGGGGCGCTATAGCGCAATATAGGTTCGCAATTTCCTCCTTTTTCCAGTGACTCCGCCTCCAGACTCCGCCTCCAATGCCCGGCTTTCAGTGAAAAACGAGATTGCAGGACGAAAAAGCATGAAAATCGTCACTTGTACGATCGTAGAGTTCTTATCGGTGAATCAGCTGTGCGTATGAGGGCGTAGTGTGGGAGATAGAGTTAATTGGGCACGTACAAACTGGGATCAAAATGGGGTTCTATCTAGGGCAGGTGGCATGTTTTTTGTGCTTTTTCTTCACTGTCGAGTTACTCAACCCCTTGTTGTCTATATGGAACCCCGTAATCCACTATGGCGAATAATTGCGGGTCTACCTTTGAGAATCACAGCGACATCTGAACCAGGAAACGTTGTAGAATTTCTTTGCAAAAGACGACCCAATACCACGCTTACTCCTAAGACCTTCCCTTCACATGTTAGGGGAAACCAATAGGAAAAATCTTTCTCAATGTGCTAAACCATCTCCCTCCCTGCCCAAGCATTACAAACACAGTCCCTTGTGATTTCCATTGATAACATGCCCTGATCTGACCTCTCATTTGGGCTATGAATACGTTTTGTGATCAGGCGATGTACGAACAGTGCTTTTGCTTTTAAGGCAGAGTACTTTTCTGATGAGGCAGAGTTTGACCCCACATATTAGGTTGACCCAAAAGTTCGTAGGACTTTTGAACATTTTTCCAGTTAAGTTTATTCCAGTGAGAAGCCTCTTGGTTCTATGCCCACAAAGGCAGCTGGGTCATTTTTGAGGTACTATCAAAAATCGTATTTTTTACCCAGAAGATGGCCGCTGTGGGATTAGTTTAGATGGCGATCGGAAAGAGCTAAGTCAGGGCTACACGAAGACTGTGGTGGAATTCCCCAGCTAAGCTTCGGGATCTCGAGCAGTGTCGTTTTCCAAATGTGTGACCCTGAGCTGTGGTGGAGTAGGCAAACATTGCTCGGTTTTGGGACCAAATGGTAGAGATTTTCAACCCCCCTTTGCAGTTGATTACAATAGGGTTCCCTGGTTACCACAGCGTTGGAAGGAAGAAATTCCGTTTTGGGAAGGGAGAAAGAAACCCCACCACATACACAGTCTCACCGCCCTACTGGATTGATAGGATTGCGCGATCGGTTCTGCCCTTTCTGGGGGATCTAGCCGCTGGCGCTCCCGGGAGTGATTCACCTAGAGGCACCCACTCCATATCCAGTTACAGTGCTGTTCAACCAGCCGTACAGCGGAAGCGGGAGAGAAGTTGTAGACAGTACCCACATGTGCTCCCCTTGGAGTACTGGTCAACTCATGAGAAAAATTTTGACCGAACTTCAGAACTTTTCTAAGGAAGCGAGGCCCTCTCTCATTTGTGCTTTGGGACCAGTCAAGTGTAAGGACTAGCAAGTTGATTTGTACGAATTGGTTTTAATCAAGGAACACAGTAGGTCCAAATCCAAGGCAGGTGGCCTCCTTGGACGAAGTTTTTCACCCAGATAGAAGTCACTAAAGCGGAAGCAATTGGGCCATTCAAAGCCGTACTGTGGAAGGTAACATCAAGACCTAAATCAGAGGAAATGCCGCTTGTGGCTCCAACCACGTTGTGGCTTGGTAGAGATTCATATAGCGAAGTGTGTCGAAAATGATGAATTTCAATTACCGTTTTGGATATGAGAACAGCGACTGCGAGGGACGGTGAAGAAGCTGTGGGATGCTTACCTAACACACTTCCCATAGACCACATAACTGGATCTCGAAATGGCTGCGGAAAGATCTGATACGAGATTCAAAAAATGTCCACGAACTTTCGGCAACCTAATATATTTGGGCCCAAGTAGTACATTAGTACGCTGGCATGGGTAGTTGGTGAAACTTGCTTCTTGACCATACGTCGCAACGACGAAATTTTCCCAACGCTGCTAGCGACCTAATTACGTGGAAAGAAATCTGACTATGAGTGTGGTTTCGTAACCTCAAAATGACGCAAATATTTATTCGGCTTTCGTTTCGGCTTTCTCCCAAATTGTTCCACCCATTATATTATCCTGATGATCGAGTGGCTGACTGAAAATAGGTGTCATTGCTTCATTTGAGCTCGGTGGAGAGCAGGATGGACCAGTGGAAGAGGACAACCTCCAAGCTGCAGTGTAAGTGAGCATATAAACACTGTGTGTAAACCAAGGCAGTAGAGTAAGACAGTACGTAATTATCCTCTATGAGCGATCTCCGTTGCTTAAGGGCAGTTGGCAAAATGATTAAATTGTTGAATGGGGTGTGGTTAAGCGCCTTCTCGCAGCCCTTCCACCAATGACAATGGCAGAAACTGTCTGCCCCAGCCATGGTGCTTTTAAACGATGATCCTTCTCCGTCAAAAGCGAGCTCACTGAAAAAATTGGATTGAGTATGCTATTACTTTTCAGCTTCTATTTCTTCAAATGAGCACTTCGCAACGCTAAAGTGTTGAACCCGACTATCCTTTGTAATCGGCAGTATTCAGGCCGGATTTCTAAATGTGAATGAAATTTATTTATACATATCCAGTGCCATCCTGGGATTTGGAGCAGCCAGTGAGTGAAATTTTAGTCATGTAGATCAGTTTCTGTGTTATCTACAGTAGTTTTCGCTGCAGAAGCTGGGCTTCTCGGAGGAAGGAGGGGGAGGGGTAAGCAAGGTTTCAGCCTATTCGCCACCAATTGCTGAAGCGGGCAAACGACTTATCGGAGGAAAACAGGCTGGGGCCCCGCCAAACTCAACCCCCTAGCAGGCTCCAGCATCTGAAGCAAAATTACTATTAGGTTGTCCGGAAAGTTCTTAGCGTTTTGTGCACCTATTTTTTGTACATTCACTGCTGATTAAAAACTCATTCTGCCTTGCTTCTCAGTAGCACATCCTGTAGAGAATTTCTTGCGCTATCTGATGGTATAATTGCCGTTTCACCATTGCTTGATAAACCCTCTTTTTCAAGATTTTTTCAAGCATGTGAAAAGAGCACTTCGGACGATTTTTTTCTTCGCTATAAATTGGGGCAATCCGCAATCGAAACAGCTCAACAAATTAACCAGGTGTGGGGCCCAATAGTGCTAGAGAAAGCACTGTGCCGCAATGGCTCAACAAATGTCGTTCTGGAAATTTCAGCCTTGAAGGTGAACCTCATAGCGATCGACCTAAAGCAATTCTGACGAGGATTTTGAGGGGATTTCGGAGGCTGATCTATCCCAAACAGTTCGAGAGATAGCAGAAGAGCTAGGCGTTGGCAAATCCACTGTTGCAGATGGTCTGGAACGCATTGGGAAGGTGAAAAAACTCGACAATTGGGTGCCCCACAATCGGAGTGACCGGCAGGAATCGGCACGTCTCGAGGTTCCTTCTTCACTGCTTTTGCGCAAAAGAATTGACCCGTTTTTGAACGGATTTGTCACCTGTGATGAAAAATGGATCATGTATGATAACAGGAGACGTTCCGGACAGTGGTTGGATTTGGAGGAACCACCGAGGTAATTTTCAAAGCCGAACCCTCGCGAAAAAAAAATTCTGGTCAGGTTTGGTGGTCATCGGCTGTTGTAATCCACTATAACTTTTCATCACCAGGCCAAACCATCACAGCAGAACCCTACTGTGAACAAACCGACCAAATGTACCGAAAATATTGTCAGCTGCAGCCAACACTTATCAAAAGAAAGGGTCCGATTCTTTTGCATGACAACGCCCGCCCACACGTTTCACAAATCACTATCCATAAATTGAACGAATTGGGAGTTGAAGTTCTACCTCACCCACCATATCTCTAGACCTTTCACCAACCGACTGTCACCTTTTCAGACATTTTCAGAACTTTCCTGCTGAGAAATACTTCATCAAACAGGACCAGGCAAAAAAGACCTTCGCAGATTTCGTGGATTCTCGACCACCCAGTTTTTTCTTTGATGGGATTTCTCGACTGCTGTCACATTGGCAAAAGTGTGCTGATTCGAATGGTGCTTATTTGGATTAAATCCGATGAGTGTTAAGAAAGTTATGATCGTTTAAAGTTAAACACCCAAAACGCTAAGAACTTTCCGGACAACCTAATATTTATATTGCGCCACATCAAAAGAATACGTTTTGTATGGAGATGGCTGCAGGTGAATTTTGGCTAGCTTACAGTTTTGTGGACCGGACAAGGAACATATCTCTCACAAAATTCTACCTCAACCACATCTGCAAGAAATAGTGCATTACTATGGGCATTATCCGAGGGAAGGTGAGGATGCTCCTCCTAATACTCCTTCGTAGTAAATACTTATACGCAGTACTTCGCTTATGAGTGGGTTTTTCTTGCCATAATCAGACAACAAAATCAATGAAAATATAATAGTGAACGCTGGTTGATTCGTTCTGGAGGGGAACCTAGGCATTAAACTTCTCTCCGAAATTTAATTCCGATCATTAAACGTGGATTTGGCCACTAAGTTACTTGCAAGGCCTATGCACATCAGTTTTCCACTTCCACAGACAAGTGTGATGTCAAACTATAAAAAATGAATGAAAAAAAATTAAATGATTGGAGTCAAGGATAGCCTGCACGGTTCGGTTCGGTATAGGAGGATACCGCAAGAAAGGAAAGAAACACGATGATGTCGTCAAAAATGTTATTAAACTGTTACGTGAATACACTCAAGGCGTATGTGGCTTCAGAGAATACAGCACGAATATATGACAAAGGAAAACAAAAGAAAAATAAAGTGGGACCTAGAGAAGAGAGGGGGAGGGTGGTGTCGGGTCGAGACTCGAGAAGCAGAATGAAGGGCGCGCGGCTAATCTTATGCGAAGCGTCTTCCCGCGCAAATCGACTGATCGACTAAGCCTGGCCAGAATGGTCAAGGCGGGGGGTCAAAGGGTACACGAACGGCACATTGACATGCCCCCCGCGGAAGAAGCGCCGGTCCCTGTCGGCGCGAAGGCCCTAACCAATGGCAATGATGAGATTCCTGAGCGGAATGAAGAACAAATAACAACAATGATAGTAGATCGTGCGAAACCGGTAAGAAAAAATAACAACAAATCAACATACAACATTGGTGCGGCTAGGCAAAACGGGTAAGGAAGAAAAACAACAAAGAGGCTAACATACTTGAGTCACTTCTTCGAGCAGGAAATCAGTGATAAACAAGGAACAAGTCTTCAAAGAAGAATGCGAGCAGAAATCATTTCAATAGGGACGGTATCCGTAACCCCTATGACCCCTGTAGGCGGCTCTACGGGGTCTCCCGTGGCGGTGATCTCCACGAACTGTCGCAGGTGTCCTCTGAGCGGATACGAAAGCCTTGTAACAGTCAAAGCAGGTGCATTGCCCTGGGAGGTGCAGTGGTGAGCGATACTGGTTACCGCGCCAGCTTTGCCGTCCTCTGAGCGGTTCGCGATCACTCCCACGCGGGGCTTCTTCCTGTTCCTTCTGAGATTCCTCAGTCGGTTTCTTCACATGTGTTCGAATATTCTTTATCTGAAAGTGCGGTCCGAAGCGTTCCAAGGCTAGCTTCAGAAATCTTCTTGCTGGACCTGCGGAGTAAAATCGAGGCGTGTTGTTGGGGCGTTCCCCCAGGCTACACCATGCTTGTTCTGACCACTGGTTGCGGTTCTGCGGCAGCAGAATTTTAATTCTCGGCTTCAGCGCATCACATGATATAACTGTTCCTTCAGCTATATCTCGAAGCTGATCCACAGCTTTTTCCCCACTCCTTATTTGTGTACGGCCCAGGAACGATTATCCATTCAGCGCCAGCAGCGACGGCAGTGAGAATGCTACGAACGGCTGGTAGCCAGTGGGAGAGACGTGTGAAAATCGGCTCAGTGAATAGAATAACTGCTGACAGCTCGTCCTCGAACCAGTCTGCTTTGATGTCCTCTGGCTTTTGGTAGCAACGTGCGACTTGATTGGAATACTCCAGTGGCGTACATTGCAGGCTGAAAACCGTCTGGAAGAAGAATCAACGACTTCTTTTCCGGGATTTGTCTCCATGTGTCATCTTTCCATGTGATCTGGATAGCCTGAGCGAATGCGGCCTCGTAGAGCTTTTCGATGTCGAATGGATCTCTATCCGACCTTCTTGGGTGCTTCGTGCTCGAAACACTGTTCATCCTCTTCGTGACAGCCAACATGATGTGGACGCACCTCGTCCTCATAAAAGCTATCGCGAGTGCCAGCTCACGAACATCTAAGGCGACATACTCGGGAGAGAGGAGGTTAACCCAGACGACTTCCCTGGGAAGGTGGGCTTCCCTTGTTCGAAACTGAAATTGGTCGTTTTTATGGCAAATCTCCTGACATGAATCTCTGTTAAAAGGTGCATCCTCACCTTTAGCAGTTTTTGCGGTTTCTTTGGGATTCGCCATTTTCAACTGGGCTCCTTTCTCCATCTGCATGCTCAGACTTTCCACTTCTGCCTGCAAATGGATTACTTTCTTTTTATAGTTCTCATTAGTACTTTCAAGGTCTCTCACAGCTGATAGGACTTCATTTTCTTCGCATACAAAGTGCGCTGCTAATTTTCCTATCATATCTGAATGCGCGTCTCTCGTTTTACTGGAGCAGCTTATAGCTGACTCACATGAACTGACGAGTTTAGCTTTGGCTAAGGCGCATCTCACTGATTCAATGAAATCGGTGCGTTTTTTTGCGCTTACGTTGCGGAAGTTTTCTTGTAAGGCCTTTTCGCACTGTTCTAGGACACATTCTAGAAGGCTGTCAGCACAATTTGCCTCATTGATTTCATGACGTGGATCTCCGTCATGCTCCATTGGCGTTTCTTTAAGTGCTGCCATTACAAGGTCCTCTGTAATGCTCTTCCACTCACAAAGTAGCCGAAGTCTGAACGAAGTATCCTCAAACCGAAGTTTTGTTCGGCCCCCAAGTCAAGGATAGTCTGCACGGTTCGGTTCGGTATAGGATACCGCAAGAAAGGAAAGAAACACGATGATGTCGTCAAAAATGTCATTAAACTGTTACGTGAATACACTCAAGGCGTATGTGGCTTCAGAGAATACAGCACGAATATATGACAAAGGAAAACAAAAGAAAAATAAAGTGGGACCTAGAGAAGAGAGGGGGAGGGTGGTGTCGGGTCGAGACTAGAGAAACAGAATGAAGGGCGCGCGGCTAATCTTATGCGAAGCGTCTTCCCGCGCAAATCGACTGATGCCTGGCCAGAATGGTCAAGGCGGGGGGTCAAAGGGTACACGAACGGCACATTGACATTGGACTGCGAAAGACTCTCCCCTCCTTGCACTTCTCGAAGAACCTAAAAACAAAGCCAAATGTTATAGTAAAATACAAAAATATTGATTAAGGGGTGTTGAACACCGTGAATTACTGGATTCCACGATTATTTTGATCAACTTCTCAATTATTTTTAAGCCTTCTCGGAGGAGGACTTTTCCTCTTCGCAGTATTCCATACATCTGGGACTACTGATGAGATATCGGATTCGACTGTTCGTATCCTCTACGGCGTGTTCACTGCGGTATCATTACTTGCTGCACTTACATTGGCGCTGCTGCGAGTTCAGCCATTGACCGACAGAGCTGATGTTGAGAAAAGCCATCCTGGTTTTTTCATAGGTGAGTAAATTTACAGCGAACTATTGAAGATGGGTCGCGTTACTCAAAAATGCTTCAGCTGGAGAGCATTCTTGGCTCAAGTGAGGTACCACGTTCGACTTTTCTGAGAGTAGCCATCTTCCAGCTGTTGTTTTACAATGATGTAGTTGTTGACCCAACATCTGGGAATCTAACTGTTCGATGCAGCGGGGCAGATATCGTTACTTCATAAGGCGACATCAAATAAGTTCAACTTCTTGCATTCCATATTCCGAAGATGGAGAGGGCGTAGATCCCATCCGAACGCGGCAACTTGTCCCCTATGGCATAGCATGGCCCTTGTATTCAATGCCAGTTTGCCCCTTTAGATGGAGTATCGGCCACGTTCTCCTCTCCGTTCCCCTTTCTTTTTCAAGACATGGGTGTTACCGTCGTCGTACGTTATTGATATTTCATGATTCCCTTTTGGGTTCTTAGAAATAAAGGACGACTTTTTATTGATGGCCGTATTTTGAAAAGGTTTCAGTCCTCGGAGGCCTAGTCTGCCATTTGACAGAATGGGGGCATTCCGTCTTGAGCAACTAGCCAACTAGCTCATTCGGAAAGCTGCTTAAAGACAGCTCTCGCGAGAAAACTGTCATGGATTGTTGTTTTTTTCAATTATTAAACAGTAGCTCATAAGTAATTCTCTAAGTGAGAGAAAAAGCAGAAAGAGTCTTCAACACAACATGAACAAAATCGTTCCCTGAGAGTCACACTTCCCTACGGTCTCTGTGCAGCCTCCTGGCTCACAATTTCTTTATCACATCTCCCAGTAGTGCATATCATGAAATGCAGAGAAATGAATACAAAAAACAACAAAAACAGAGAAGAAAACTCTTAAGAAGGGAAAGAAACCTTCTAACACTCGGCGTCCGAATTCAGGGTTACGTCTCTTGGTGTGGTGTAGTACGTCGCGCTTCTACACCACGAAAATTGGGTCGCTCGTGTTTTCTACGCGTTTCAAGTTTAAGTTTAATGGGTTGTAGTTGACCTGTGAGCCTAATGAATAAAATGCAATAAGGGGGAGCAGGATTACTCGTTGGCACAGCGCGGTCAGCAAAAAGGACGTGCACTTCCGATTAATGCCCGCCGCCCCAACAAAGAACAACTGAGCGGCTCTCCGTCAGAGGGCATCTAGCAAGTGGGCGGTCCAACTGGGCGGGCGTTAGAACTAGAACTTTCAGCGGCTGTAGCTCGCTCCTCGCTCGCTGTGGAGTCGCGAGAGTGGGATAGTCTCTAGCTTGGGGGCTGTACTACTTGCACAAGGACGACCATGTACTACTTGAGCGCGGGGGCTGTCTTTGAAGCTAAGATCATAGTCATAGCTCCCCTTCTCATATAGGAGAAAAGTAGAGCCTGAATAACAAGGTTAGCGACGTGACCTATCACCATCTAAAATCGCTCATACAGAACAATAGGGTTGCGTGGACATTCGACGAATGCCCAACCGTACACCAGCCGGCTGTGAATAGGCGATGTGCGGAGGAGAGGAAATGAGTGAGTGAGGGTGTAGATTGGGATCCATTTTACGGCAACTCCTCGCGTTTTGCAGTTTGCGAACTGCATACTATATTAGCTTCTCGTCAAGTCATTGGAGCGCGTATGCGGATATTGTGCACGTGACGCAGCCTGAAGGAACGCTTATGTCGTACCTTTACGCCAAGTGACTGTTCACGAATGGCTAATCTCTCCTTACTGTTTTCCGAAACTGATTATCTCGACAATGCCCTCTTTAGAAACGTGTAGGAGGTTTGAGACACTTGCTCGATCTTTGCGTGTCAGCAGAGAGAGAAAAGACTTGCTCGTACTAGGTGGTGTGTCTAGAAGATCTTGATAGTGAAAGTAGTAGTAGCAGCTTCTCATCCTTCTACACTTGAATTTCAGGTTCGACAATTTCCTTGATGTTCACTAAGGAAATGCTTCTACTTGCATTCGTTTTTGCATATTCGGGAATCGAGCAGTCGTTTTGGACAGGTATTTGTTTCTTTTTTTTCGGCTCGTCCCACATAATTTTGATGAGGCAACTATTCAGGCGTTTATCCCACTTGCATTTCTTTTGCGCAACACTTGGGGACAAATACCAACTCTATGCTAGCACTAAACTTGATCGCCACTGGAATTGGACAGACTACAGGTGAAGAAGAAGAGCATAGCATAAGATTTCGGCATTTTGAGAGAGCACTGCACGACGACGCAGAAGAGGTGGAGGTTCTGTACAGAGTGGTCAGTTCCACAGCTGTTAAAGTATGTATCACTTTCATTCTTCGAAAACGTAAATCAGGGACTCGACGGCCCTACCTTTTACGGTAATCTACGTGCACATCAGCCACATCGGTGAGCAACATGACTTTCTGTACCCCCCCCCTTTCCCGCTGCCCCCACTTCCGAGTTTGTGGCAGCTCCCACGTACATCACTTCTCTCTGAAAACGATACTCCAAACTCCTGTGGATGGCAACACGCACCGATACGCTGTGGAAAGACGGCATTTCTCACCACGCAACTGAGAGTGTGTAGTACAAGTGGAGCGAAACTTGCATGAATCTTTATTCTTTTCCTGAATCCACACACAATTTCCACCAGTGCAGATCGCTCTCAACAAGTCATGTGTAACACACTCCGTGAGTATCATATACCCTTCCCCATCCTGAAGAACCCCCAACAATAAAATAAGCAACTGCGTCCGCGCAGGTAGATTGTAGCTGCGATGCTGTTGTTCGTCCCTTACTTTTCAACGAGGTAACGTTCTGTTATTTGCCTGAGGTCGGCGAGACCCCCTTCAAGCTGATTTCGGATGTACAATACAAATATAAAGCTGTCACATTGTAATGTCTGAAGTTTAGCTGATCTTCTACAGCTCAGAAACATTCGTCATTGCAGAAAACTGCGGTCAGAATGAGCGTGAGATCACGCAAAGATAGCAGATTTGCAGCACACGCCACGCTGGCATAATCTCTCCTTTGCATTTTTGCGTTGGCATTTCTATGCGTATTTCTTGTCCAAAATCGATTTCCAACCGAAATAGATCGGAAATCTTTTCTGCATAAATCTCAATTCTATTCGAGGGAATCAAGGCCGCGAATGAGCAGTAGCAACTCCGCGTGGAGATGCCTTCCACCATTGGGTTCCCTGGCTCCCCTACTATTCACGTTGTGGCTGTGAGAATGCGAGGGCACAGAAGCGATAGTGGACCTGCTCAACTTGTATGAGGGAGTTTCACTTATGCATTATCGTACAGTGCTCTTAAGCAGTGAGCGTCATTTGCTTAAATGTAGAAGAAAACAGGCTTTTGCTTTCAGCAGGACTTGTATTCGGGATCCTTGGCGACAGAACGAAAAAACTTGGACGAGACTCTATTATATTCTTGGGAACAGTTGTTCATCTTGTGGCTTTCCTCTTGATCTTCATGAATTTCCCCGCGAAATCACCATTACAAAAAACAGACGATGCCGGTGGATTGATCGAACCAAGGTCTCTCAAACAGCTCATACAATTCAGATTTCTGCTAGTTCGATTTTCAGTATTGCGATAGCACTGGTTTGTGGAGCTCTTCTCGGGTTCGGTGATGCCTGTTGGAACACACAAATTTACGCTTTTCTTTGCGATGTATACGCTGATAAAAGCAGTGAAGCGTTTGCACTATTCAAGTTCTATCAAGTGAGTTTTGTGTGAATGAATCTCGTTTTTCTGTGGCTTTGCTTCAGAGTAATAGCACTGCTTTTCAGTCTCTTCTTTCATGCGCCGCATTCTTCTATTCATCAGTACTGATACTGCAGTGGCACCTGCTCATTTTGGTGACCACTTCCATGATCGCTGCATTCTGTTTCTTTCTTTCGGAACGACTGCTTGTCAGTGCTAGAGCAAAAGAAGTAGTTAGCACAAATTATAGGTTCTGAAAGGAATAAATGAATATTTCCACCTTCCCACTTTTGCGGTTCTCTGGAAGATGTGCAAAACATTTACCGAGCAAAGCACCGTAATTGAAGATCCCGACAAAAAAGATGAATTCGCAGGAAACTGCACTATCACCTCCGTGGATCCTGGTCCTTGCTATATGCGAGGTGAGGGGGTGCAGCAGCGTGCCACTTTCTCGGGTCAGTAGGGCACGGGAACGAGACTGGAGGGCAGTGATAGGATGCCAGCTCCTGACTCCTTGCCGCACAGTCAGCTAGCCGCGGGGTATAGCATCGCTGTGCGAAACACATAAGGAGGGGGGGGGGTCGTACTTGGCCGCTGGGGAGGGGGGGGTCGTAATCTCAAGGGTCAGTCAGCACCGGACAACGCTATGACGTTTCAGTTGATAGAAGGAGTAGAGCTATGAAAGCCGATGTTTAAAAAAAATGTGAAAGTTTTCATTAGTGTCTGGAGAATGATTTAGCTCGACACCAAGTTCGTTAAGAATTCTTTCGTCGTCGCCGTCTTCAGAGCCTGGAAAGCCGGAAATCATTTTCGAAACTACTCATTAAACATATTATATTATCACCACATGTATATAATTCGCTTCGTCTGTTTGTTTGTAAGTTTGTTTTTGTTTGTTTGTTTGTTTGTTTGTAAGTTTGTTTGTCTGTCCGGAAATTCGGTTCGACCTGAAGAACGACTTGGAGAGGTCGGGTCAAGGTGGGGATGGGTAGGGCATGGGACAAGAAATAAAAAGCACACTTGACCTATGCGAAGCCCCGCCCACAGTGGGCGGGGCACTCGCTGAAATTTTGGGGTTCCGCAGAAAAATGTTCATAATTCGCTTCCGGAGCAGCCTAAGATGGGGAAAAAAGGGAATAAGGTTAGTAAGGAGTCGCCAGACTAACTGTGGCAGACACATCCAAAATGGGCGGGGCGTACTCAAGGTGGGCGGTGCTTCGCATAAAACTCAGTAACTCGGTTCGCGAGAGTGTTCAGAAGCCGCAAAAAGCTCAGTGCAGAATGTAAATATCTGGCGAGTATTGGGCACGCTCAAAATGTGTTGAGATCCGCCCACAGTGGGCGGAGCTTGCCCTAAACCGCAGGATACTCATTTTAAAAGTTTGTAGCTCGGTTCCAGAGCACACGGGAAAAAAGTGGATTAAGGTCAGCAGAGGGTCGCCGATTGAGAAATGTGGGGTATACATATTGTGGGCGGGGCCAGCCCGAGGTGGGCGGAGCCAGACGAAAATTCTCTAAAACTGTCCCAGAGCACTTCAAAGACCGGAAAAAACGTGGATTAAGGTCAGCAGAGGGTCGCCGGTGAGGACTGTGGACAAAAATTGGGGGCGGAGCCTGCTTCGAAGTGGGCGGAGTCAGACAAAAGATCTGCAAAACGGTCCCAGAGCACTCCGAAGACCGGAAAAAAGTGGATTAAGGTCAGCAGAGGGTCGCCGGTGAGGATTGTGGGGCAAAAACATTGTGGGCGGAGCCTGCTCCGAGGTGGGCGGAGCCAGACAAAAAGGTCTGTAAAACGGTTCCAGAGCACTCCGAAGACCGGAATAAAGTGAATTCAGGTCAGCAAGGGGTCGCCGATTGAGAAATGTGGGGTATACATATTGTGGGCGGAGCCAGACGAAAATTCTCTAAAACTGTCCCAGAGCACTTCAAAGACCGGAAAAAACGTGGATTAAGGTCAGCAGAGGGTCGCCGGTGAGGATTGTGGGGCACAAAAATTGGGGGCGGAGCCTGTTTCGAGGTGGGCGGAGCCAGACAAAAATTCTGCAGAACGGTTCCAGAACACTTCAGACACCGGAAAAAGTGGATTAAGGTCAGCAGAGGTCGCCGGTGAAGAGTGTGGGGCACAAAAATTGTGGGCGGGGTCTGCTCTGAGGTGGGCGGAGTCAGACGAAGAATCTGTAAAATAGCTCACACCGGAGAAAAGTGGAGTACAGAACAAAAGGCGGATATCAGTTGAGTCTAGAAATATGTGAGAGAAGGTACGCGCGGCGAAGCCGCGCCCGCCCGGCGCAGCCGGGCCGTATCAGAAGGAGCCGCGCCGGCGTCAGCCGGCGAGGCGACTGGTATATATATATATATCGCTGCGTTTGTTTGTTTGTTTGTT